TAAGCACTGTATAATTTCGTAGCAAAGGTAAAGTAAAATGTTTCAGGTGTCTTCGATGGTTACGAAAATAACTAATATTTCAATTATTTCAATGCAATGAATTCGAACGTTTGTGTAACATCTACCCTGCAGGTCTATCAGGAACGGGACGTCGATCTTTTTTTTTTTCACCCCAAGGAACAGTACCGACGATCCATCAGGAACGGTATTTTTGCATCCTGGGTAGTTCCCCCATCTTTGGAATTAAATTAAAAAAAAATAATTCCGGCCAAAATTATACCAGAACTTTGTCGATCACAACCGTTGGCCAATAAAAATCGAGACTCAACCGCGCTGTTAGATTATGGTTAGGTTTTGCTATTAAGCTAGGTTAGAAAAAGCTTTAGTATTACCAAAATTTCGCAAGGAAAAATTTTTGTTAGTGCGCAGGTGATTTCATAGATAAAATGTTGAGTTATGAGCGGTTTTTTGGTTTGTTTTGATTTTTCGCGTTTCTTCTGCGTCAAAATTATTAGGTTAGTAACACTAGGATAATTCGCATTTTTTGTGCGGCACCAGGTTTAATTAAAATTTCATACTGAAAACATAGAGGTCGGAGGTTATTTTACTTTTGTTTTTTTTCAAAATATCCTGCAAGGATTTGGACCAAAAATTTCAGAGTCAAGAAGTGATCTTCAGCTCGGAATTTTCTTAACATAAAAGGATACTCAATATCGATATAGATTAATAGTTAGCCGGCTAAGTGGCTAAGCGGCTACTTGATCTGCTTAGAACATTAACAGCCTGGAATTTGCTTGACGCATTTAACTTAGCTTAAGTTAAATTAGATTGAATCGAATTTTGTTATAGACATTACCCACCGGACGGCTCGTCAGCCATGCCTAGCCCGTTCAAGAAACAAGGCATTCTCAAATATACGTATGAATAAAATAAATTTTGCGCCATTATCGTTATTATGTTTTTATATGGTCGGAATTCATCGACGGTCACGTCTATCGGGCATCATATTACCACATTCTGAATCATTTCCACTTCGGGAATGGTTTATTTCATACGTATTCGGAAATATTATGCAACGTTTTTTTTTTTTTTTTTTCTTTATTTATTTATTTATTTATTTATTTTATTTATGTCAAATAAACAAAAAAAGGTAAAATACAAGTATGGTTAATAAAAGTTTCCGATTATAGTTTGTATATAGTTTAAAAATTTAAAATATTAACCGGCCTAGCCGTACCAAAATTATCGACTTTGCTTACAAAATTTTTTAATCACTTATTCCCATTTACCATTTTCCCCATTTTTCCCATTTTCCCTCATTTATTTACATTGTCACCGATTAATTTAAACTCAATCCCATCAATCTTTAATTTCTTATCCGATTCACCACTATTTTTTTCTGTTGCTTTCTTATTCAGCCTTTTTATTGTGCTACGTTTCAGTTTAATCTTGAAAGCAGCATCTAAAAGTAAGTCGGGCGTTAATAGTTCGTGTGGAATTGAACCTAGAAATTCTAAAATTTCTGAAGTTGACGGGCAGTGACTTATTATGTAGTCTCGTGTACAATATAGAATCGCTAGTCCAATTCTGAAAAATAGCTTGACACCTATAAAAATTAGTTATTAGAAATGAGGAAAAAATATATATAGAAATAGAAAGGACATGTAAGACGGTTTAAAATTTACCTTCAAAATAAAATACATCCCATACTCGAAGAACTGATGCCCATGGTAAAACCATGGTAAATAACGTTAAAAACCATTTCGGAATATACAGTATTGGATCAACACCCTCATTTTTCTATTATATATATATAATTTTTTTTGAAAAAACAATACCGATTAGTTTGATTATAGTCAATCAAAAAAATGTGCGATTTAGATGAATAAGAATTTTTAATTACAAAATGTTGCGCCAGCTTGGGATCATGTTCGAATAATAGCAAGTCAAATATGCGAGAATCTACTTTAATTTGCGGTAAATCTGGAGCAAAGTAACCACCCATATATTCTTCTATCGTAGCAACAAGAAGCCAAAATGTATCTTCTGCAGGCATCTGCATTAACATCATTCCAACTAGACGTCCCATACCCTGACAATACCCTACTACAGTATCATAATGTGCATATGCTTTCAATATATTAAAAAGATCTTCCTGACCAAATCCTTTTTCACGGAAGTGAATATGATCAGGGTAACACCTGTCAATGTCTTTCTCAATATCATCATATATTGGCAATTTTTCTTTATCTCGTAATTTCTGTTAGATAAAAAAAAGAAATGATTTGTTAATCTATAATAATGAACAATAAAACATCACTAAATAATTGATAGAAAGGCATACATCAAAAACACCCTTTTTACGATATTTGTGGACCCCAGCCATGAATTGCCAAGCTTTTCCACGTACAGACTCTGGAATACCGAGACGAACTAACTTCTTGATCTGTTAATAAGTGATAAATATTAAATATTGAATATTGAATATTGAATATTGATTAAATGTTTTTTTAAAAAAAGTAATGTAATAATTATTTAGTGAATTTACCTTTCTCGAATCTCTTGCCATTGAAGGATCCATGCTTCCAAGGAAGGAAACCCATTTCGCTTCACGGTCACGATATGAACGAATAGAGCGAGCAGTCTTTTCTTCAACTCCTGGCACTTGAACACTGATAATAATTAAAATGTTAAATAGTATAAAATAATAAGTTTTATATATATAATAAAAATTATATATATATACAAATTATATATATAATAAAAATTATATATATATATACCAAATTATATATATATGCAAATTATATATATATATACCAAATTATATATATATGCAAATTATATATATATATACCAAATTATATATATATACAAATTATATATTACAAATTATATATATATATATACAAATTATATATTACAAATTATATATATATATATATACAAATTATATATTTTATATATCAAATTTCATACATTCTTTGTATCCCGTTAGCACCTTCAGGAATTTCATGATCAGCAACATGATGGACAAAACCATAATCATCAATAGCAAGAACTTTATCTTTCCTAGTACTATCAGTATTTTTTTTAGGATCCATGTTTTTTAATGATTTTGTTTCTAGCTCATCTTCGTCAGAACTAATATCTTCGCTATCATTAGTACCACTATCATTACCATTTTCATACATGAAAGGAGCCATAGGCCTTGTGATGTCAATTAACGAGTTATTATTACTATTATAAAGAAGACTATCATCATCATCAAAATCATCTTTTGAAGTATAGTTCTTTTTTAAAGGGTGTCGTTTATGACGACCTTCTAGTTCACCATCATCAACTAAAATTTGAGGGACGACTTTTGGAGAAGATAATGGAGGAGTAGGTGAAGAGAATTGTCTAGCAGAAGGACTAGAAGGAACAATTTTTGGCGAAGTTAATGGAGGGGTAGGTGAAGAGAATTGTCTGGCAGAAGGATTAGAAGAAATAACTTTTGGCGAAGATAAAGGAGATGAAGAAAATTGTCTAGTAGAAGAATTATTAGAAGGAATAATCTTTGGTGAAGATAAAGGAGAATTAGAGTTAAATTGTCTAGCAGAAGGATTAGAGGGAGCAATCCTTGGTGAAGATGGAGGAGGAGTGGGAGAAGAAACTTGTCTATAGGAAGGATTAGAGGGAGCAATCCGTGGTGAAGATGGAGGAGGAGTGGGAGAAGAAGGTTGTCTATAGGAAGGATTAGAGGGAGCAATCCGTGGTGAAGATGGAGGAGGAGTGGGAGAAGAAGTTTGTCTATAGGAAGGATTAAAAGGAGGAACATTTTGAGAAGATTGCGGAGGAATAGGAGAAGAGAATTGTCTAGAAGGAGGATTAGAAGGAATAATTTTATGGGAGGATGGGGGAGGAGTGGGGGAAGAAAATTGCCTAGAGGAAGAGTCAGAAGGAATAATTTTTGGGGAGGATAAAGGAGAATTAGGAGAAGAAAAATCAGATTGAGGAACATGAGATATATCAATATTTTTCACGATAGGTTTTGAAAAATAGGTTTGATTATCATTAGAATATGTTATACTAATTGTTGGAGTAATTGATGGCGAAGATGGTTCTGTAAAAAACAAAAACTTTCAATAAGTAAAGGAAATAGAAGATAATTTTGAAGCACAAGTCGAAAGTAAGTTACATAGCAGACCACTAATAATATCCACCGAAGACATAGAAGACGAACGAGATCTAGTTTGAACATTTTGACTAACATCAGACGGACGAAGATAAGAGTTTTGCTGTAATTGTCTTTGAGAATTATCAGGTAATAAACCTTCAGGATTCTTTGCTCGAGCCAAATTATCACATGATTTTGAAGATAATTGAGTTTTCAAAGGACCATTAAATGAAACAGATTTTCCTCTAAAACGTCCAATCACACCCTCACAAAATCCCTGTTTAGACAATAAAATATGAAGTTAAAAGAAAACGAAAGAAATGAAATCAGATATTCAGATATTCAGATATTAATGATATTAATGATATAACAAAACTTACAAGATAAATATCACCGTCAATATGTTTCAAGACAGTAATAACCTCACCTAAAATTAAGAAAATTAAGAAGAATTGGTAAAAATATTCCAGACAATTCAATTAGAATTAAGTAGAATTCAAGTAGAATTCAAGTAGAATTCAAGTAGAATTCAAATAGGTAAATGTAATAAGATATCGTTACCGGTATAAAACATTAAGTCAATTTGGGAATTCGCCAACGTGTCTTCGATAGCAACACATGTACCAATCCCTCCTATGGTTTTTCAAACGAATAATTATACAATATAATAAAATATAAACAGTATAAAGATAACGGACACCAAGAGAATTAACAAACCTTTTGCGGCAAACTGGTGTAATTTTTCAAGTTTTGAAGCTTTTTGTGATGACATTTGGTCAGTCTCTACTACTGTTATGAGTATTCTTGATCAGATTTTGCTTATTTAGACCATATTCTTGAGTAGGTGCTCTACTCATAGTATAGGTTTTGTGGCATGCTATTACAAAGTGATTTATGAAAATTCTCGGGTTGAAAGTTATTTGTTTATATAACTATTTTTCGGTTCTAAATTTGAAATCTTGCATATCATGTGATGCATGTTGATGATCTACATTGATTTGGTTGGTCAACCAAAGTTAGACATTCTCAATACGGTTATGGTTTGAGTATTATTATGTTACGATTGTATACATAAAAATACATAAAATTAAGGAATTAAACACAAAACTATAAGTAAATATGATTTGGACATTTATTGCCAAACAAGCAAGAGTAAGAAATTCCCAAAACCGAAATGCAATGGGGTCTACGGCATCTCTTATTGCTGTATTGCATTTTATAAACCTATAAATCAATCGCAAGGATGTTTATTGAACTTCTTTTGAAGAATAAAATACTGTATTTCTGTATTTTAACATTTAAATACCGGTAAACTGATAATAACTGAGAATTGTTAATTAAACTCAATCTAGACTGGAGTGAAAATATTTAAATTAGATTGTCGGAAATCCAAATTAACCTGGAGTACAAATTATAAACTAATTTCAGACTAACCGAACTCATTAACAACCTTTCAACCAAATGTTTTTAACTCAATTATATATTAGTATCGAATATAATTTTTTTTCTAGTGTTCACCATTTCCAGTAATGAAATTTCTTTTGTATACCATGTGTATTTGTGTTCTGTACATCATAAAAACTTGATCGTTAATTACACGAATTAATACTATCCACGTGACATTACTCAAAAGAAAGATATATATATAATTCTGTAATTCAGAAAACACAAAACGTAAATCTCGTAAATCCTTCACATGCGAGTTTCAAACTAATATATTTTCCAAACTATATTCAAAGAAATATAAAATTTTGATACGTGACTGTTAAAAATTACGCAATACGTGAATATAAGCGACATCATTGTGAATTACCACATGCACTTGCAAAAATAAGCATCAAAACCAGGGCTAAAACGACACATAGTAAATGCCTGCCATTCAATAAGTGTCATTCTTGATTCACATTATATTATAATTTTGATGCAGTATCAAGAAAGATACTTTAAACAATAAGCAATGGCGCAGTAAATGGCTGACATTTACTATGTGTCGTTTTAGCCCTGATCAAAACATATATCTGACGTTATATTATATTATATATTATATATAGTGTATTATATTATATTAAATTATATTATATTTTATATGTATATTATGCAATAAAAGCCTCCTGTAAATCTCCACATATGTACGATAATGCATCCCCACTAATTTCTATTTTTGCTTAGATTTTAAAAAAGTTAATATCAAACGGGTTATGAAACACAATAAGGAGTCACCCTTAATCGTTTACGATATAATTATTGAATTACTGTTCTGATTATCGTAACCCCGGCCTTTTACCATCTTTTACCATCTTTAATTTGACTAATGCACAAGATATTCTTAATAGAATTCTGCTTCAGTACTTGTCGATTACTTATATTGTAAAGAAAATCCGAAATGTGAGTAAATCAAGAAAAATGGTTTGGCCTAATTTTATAAAGATACAAAAAAAGTTAGAAATAATAAAGAATTAAGAATTAATTATTTTCAGGCTTCGATTTTCTTGATTTTTAAACATTAATTCATCATTCTTGAATTTTTATTTATTTAGAGAAATCCTATCTTTTACTCGGATTTTATTCTCTCATATTTATTCAAATGAAATCAGCGAGTATCCTTCTATAGTAATGTCGTGATATATGTTAGCATCCGCCTGAAGTTGCAGCTTCAAGTGCCTGATGCTGCATCTACCTAAAATTACTCATGCATGTGAGAAAAATCTAATTTTAGGTACTACTTTCAGGTGCAGCTTCAGTTGCAACCTAAAACAGGTGCCAACTTTAAGCCTGACAGTAATATCTAGGGCTAACTGATCTTCAACTCACTCTATTAAATCCACTACAACTTGGGTTGAATTCAACCTGGTGTGTTTCTGAAGTAAGCTACTTCATATAGCCAATCGGTGAATTAGGGAAACACTGGAGATAATTGACGAACGTTTTTGGCCAAGCGATAAAAATTTATCGACTCAGTCTAGTCTGTCTAGTCTGTCTAAATAATAGGATTTGATCAGCCAGGATCTCCACCATAGTTAATATCCAAGCATATCTGATATGGTAACAATAATATCTTAACTTAAAATGAATTCTAACATATCATTTTTCATTTTAAGTGAGCTACATAATAAAGTGTAGAAATCTAATACACACATTAATGCTATTGAATCTTAAATATCATATACGTACAAGTTCCGTTATGTAAAATGAATTTATTCCGCCGAGAGAAGTACTATATACGTATTTGTATCGATGTTACGAATACGTATTACGTTACATTACACAAATCGTAATAGTAGATGATGCGGCATGACATAATCAATCTGCTCCATAACTGCTCTATATATGTTGCTATTGTTTGCATTCATATAATTTTTTTTATTTCGTTTCGTTTATACTTGCAGCATATCCCTATGTTTATAAGTAAATTATAAGAATTTTCTTTAATCAGCTTTAACATGACTTCAGTCCGGTCGAACAATACCTTTTCTAACTCGGATGTTGCCACACTTACAAGTTTTGGTTATAGACCTGGCGAAGAGGATAATGAAAATGTAATATCAAAAATATTTCAACGCGTAAAAAGTTCTTTCGCTGTATCCCCTGGTACTCCGAATGTAAACAATTCTACAGATCCTCTCGAAAATTCTTCAACAAACTCTTCTCAAGATCTTGATTTTGAACCTTCGAAAAGTACCTCGTCGCTATTATTACCTGATAAAGATAATAAAGGTTTTAAACATGGTGTCACCCCTGCTCCCCCCGTCGTCTCAATAGAACCTTTCCTTGGAAGTGCCCCAGCAAAGCTTAAATTAGAATCTACGGACAATGTTCAAGACCATGCTAATGGTACTGTAAATGGGATCAATACTACTTCAAGTTTAGTTAATGGTTCTACCAACCAGCAAAATTCTCAGGAGGGTCTCGACGCAGCGTGTCAAGACACGTATCCTATTTATAAAGATGTTTCGGATACCCGATCTATTCAATCTGTTCAGGCTACTGCATCTACTGCTAATAATTCTGGCTATTCATTTAGTAAAGTTATCAGAAGGTTACGTGGTGAAGGCGTAAATAGAGGTTATTGGATGGCAGATGATACTTGTAAAGAATGTTATGATTGTAAAACTACCTTTACCTTAGTTCGAAGAAAACACCATTGTCGTATATGTGGCAAGTAAAATCATAAAATAAACAAATAAATATATTATACACACATATATATATATATATATATATATGCATACATAACTATGATTATTTTACTAATTTTTTTATTTTATTTTTTTAATAAAAGGTCAGATATTTTGTTCTAAATGTGCTTCCAATATAATACCTGGTGAAAAGTTTAATTATGATGGTGCTATGCGTGTTTGTAATTATTGTCGTCAACTTATTAAAGATTATGGTGAGGATTCTGATTCTGAACCAGAATATTGGAATCCAGAAAAACCCGATTTTTCAAATAATACTGTTCCAAGGTTACATTTAACTCAACCTATGCCAACTGACAATCACAGTATTCCATCAAGTACAACGTCTGAATTAACACCTTCTACTATTAATTCTCACCTTTCTCCACGACCTCCTTCTCCTGATACTCTCTCATTGAATGATGGTTTAAAAAAAATTATTTCTGTTGGGTCTTCTTTATTTATGTCAAGGTCAAGATCTAATACTATAACTGAGGAATCCCATATTGTAGGATTACCATCTTCCCCTGCTCCTTTTCGACGTAGTCTTGCTGAAGATGATAAAAATACCCCTGCCGCAAATCCTGAAGCTGTTCTTGACCCTGAAATCGCTCCTTTTATGAGCGATGAAGAAGATGATGATGTTCATTATGATTCTTTAACAAATCCATCAAATGTTTTAAGCTTTGTTACTAGTATTTTACACGTGGGTGGAAGTAGTGAATCTGCTACTCCGACCCCTGCCGTTTCTGAATATGCTGGTAGTGATGATGAAACTAGTGAATATGGTTCAAGATCTTCTCTACGGTCAATGCCAAAAGGTCAACGTGCTGAAGATATAAGAAGTCATTTTGCTAGAGATAAAAGTTCTTCTCGACGATGGAGTATTAATAGTAATCGTTCATCCAGAGTGGGTAAAAAAAGAAGTGGTTTACTCAGACAAATTAATCCAAATAGTGTGCCTATGGAAATGTCTTGTTCTGTAGAATCTAGACCTTCATCTCCATTTAGTATGCGACATTCTCGAACTACTTCTATGCAAACTAAAACTGAAATTAGTCCAATTTCCCTACAACATATGAGACAATTATTACGTCAATTTTTACGGGAATCCGAAATTGATTTATCCGAAGGTTGGGAGGATGTAATAATGGCTTTGATGACAAAAGTTTCTAATAATTTAAATCCAAATGTTCGTGGTGGTGATGAGATTGACATTCGACATTATGTAAAAATTAAAAGAATTCCGGGTGGTACACCTCAAGATTCTGAATATGTTCATGGTGTTGTATGTGCAAAAAATTTGGCTCATAAACAAATGTCAAGGGCTCTTCATAACCCTCGAGTTCTTATTTTAACTTTTGCTTTGGAATATCATCGCGTTGAGAATCAATTAATGTCACTGGAACCGGTTATTGCCCAAGAAGAAGAACATTTACGTCTATTGGTCAATAGAATTGCTGCATTACGTCCTCATTTAGTTCTAGTTGAAAAAACAGTCGCTCGTAAGGCTTTGCAAATGTTGTTAGAAAAGAATATTGCTGTTGCTTTAAATGTTAAGGCATCTGTTATTGAAGCTGTTGCTCGTTGTGCACGAGCTGATATCATTCAGTCTATCGATAAACTTGCTATAGAACCAAAATTGGGAAATTGTGGAAAGTTTTTGGTTAAAACTTTTGATCATCAACTTATTCCAGGGCGACGAAAGACTTATTTATTTTTTGAAGAATGTCCTAAAGATTTAGGTTGTACTATTGTTTTACGAGGAGGAAATATGGGAATTCTTGAAAAAGTAAAACGTATTGCCGATCTCATGGTTTTCGTGGTATATAATTTAAAATTAGAGACTGCTCTGATAATGGATCAATCCGCAAAAACACCCGATTTTATTGAAGATCTTCAAATTAGTAGTCATGATTACTTTTCTGCTAAATGTGATGAGTTGGATCCATTAGGACCATACGAATCAACTATACTTTCAGTGTCCCCATTTATTAAATTCCCACCACCTTATTTATTGACAAGAATGAAGCAAGCTGAACAAAAGCTTGCGGATTTGGTACAAAAACGTAATTGGTCTTCAAATAAAGACGGTGATAAACAACATTCGGCACCATCTACTTCTGTTGGACTTTCTGGCATTTTACGTACTCCTGAACAAGTTATAGCTGAAGCAGAATTTTCTGATGCCATCCATGATCATATCTTTCAGACACGTGCTTGGGAAAGTTATGTATATAATAATATTGTTAGTCCATATGCACATCAAAATATATCAGTGTTGTATTCTAAAGTTTGCACTGTAAATGGAAATCCATGCAATGAGCCCGAGATTTTGGTTATGGAATATTATCGTGAATCTGATCGTACACTTGGACAATATATAGAAGGCATGTGTTCGAGGTCTAATGTATTATGTAGTTCGTGTGATCGTCCGCTATTCATGCATTATCACTGGTTTTGTCACGGAAATTCACGAATTACCGTGTATATTGACGAAAATCAAGAATTCCCTCTCCTAAATGTGGATCAAATATTCTTGTCTACTCGTTGTAAAATATGTGAGGTTGTGACACAACCTACATTAATGAGTGAAGATACATGGAAATATTCATTTGGAAAATATTTAGAACTTTCTTTTTATCAAACAGAAGTTAAGAGTCGTATAGAAAAATGCTTGCATAATATTTTTCATGATCATGATTTATTCTTCCATTTCAATAAGCTTACGGTTAGATTTCGATATGAGCCAATCGAACTTTTGGAAGTATATGCACCACCTATGCATCTTTATACCAAGCCCGAAGTTCATATTCGTCTTAAAAATCAAGATTTAGATACAATTCGACATAAAATAACGAATTATTGGGATTCAGTAGCTGATAGAATAAAAAATTTCAATTATGAGATTGTTCAACCAGATAAGGTTGAAATGTGCAAACAAGAAATGTTAGAAATGTCAAGAAGAGTTGTGACAGAGAAGAAATTTATGCTTCAAAAACTCCAACAAACATATGTTAATAGCCCACCTGAAGATACCTTAGCATTAAATAATGTATTATGCGTTCTCCAAAATAAAGTCGTGGAATGGGATAAAGATTTTAATGATATCGCTCGACAATATTTCCGACTAACCGCAAAGCAAATAAGGAGATTTTTTGTTGATAATCATGAAGCGATTACTTTACGTGGTTATTCGAGCTCATTTTTCGATGATTTGCCATTGATAAGTATGGATCTTGACACTGTATTTGATTCTAAGACCAATGATTCTATTGGTCCTACGATTGTTCCAAAATTAGGAAGTTCTCCTACAGCGGATCTTATTTTGAATGGACTTAAAGAGTTAGATTTCTTTAATGAAGGAGAAATTGAAAGTCTTGAAAATGACATAGAAAAGGTCGCTTCACAATTGACCTTGTTTCCATTTATGGATCCAAAGGTTTCCAGGCGTTTATCAATGAAATGGATGCAAGAATCTAAATCATGTCAAAGACAAATAATAGCTCGCACACCATCTGAATCAATCTTTCCAGCTATTCCTGACAAACAAGATGATTGTGATTTTACTCAAACAACTGAAATACCTCATATAATACCATCTACTATTAAACAAAGGCATGCTGCATCATCACCTTCCTTGTTAGTATTTTCAGATTCGCACAACTCGCACAACTCGCACAACTCGCACAACACAAACGGGCGTAGTAACACATTACCTTCTAAGCCAAATCGGGTATCGTCATTACAATCTCCTACAAAATCGTCATCAACATCTCGAATTAGTCGGTTGCAGCAAGTATTGGAAAAAGAAAGCAATGTACAAGATTATCCTCCACTCAAAAAGATACAAACTAAGAGAAATCAAAATATAGCCTCTGAAAAATCTGGAATTCCTCGTCAAAATTCAAAATCTAGCAGATCATCTACATTTAAACATGCTTTACCGGATGGTTATGGACTTTCTGCAATAAGATCTCATGAAAATAGAAAAAATAAATTAGCTAGTTTTTATAAATCAAAACGTAGGCCAACTATTCTACCCTCTAAGCCAATTATTGAAGTTTATAACAATGCAAAGGATGCTACTGCAGAAGAATCAGATTGCTCTGATGACTCTGATGAAGGTATAGATGATTGTCCCGAACGATATTACGATGATGAAAGACGAATTTTCTCATTGAATCGTACAGATGTATTTGACGAATTGTTGGGAAATGAAGAATTTGCTACATTACCCGGTCGAGAACCATCGGATGAAACATATATATATCATTCCGCATTGGCATTTTTAGGAAGTGATCTCAATGAACCAACTACACCAGTAGCAGAATCATTTTCAGGATCCAGTAGATATTTACTTCCAAACGATGCAAGTGATTCTTCTAATGTACAAAGGGTGATGAGATCTATTACAAGCTTTTGGACCGATAAAAAAAATTTAGATCCACTGATTTATCCTTTGTAAGTTACTTACCAACATTTGATTTTATAATAATAATTTTATTTATTAATTATTAATTTTTTACTTGATATGACATTAGAAATCCGACAGAACATGTTTTTTCCGACTCTTTAATTATTGTTAGAGAAGATGAACCGGGATCAATAATAGCTTTTGCCTTGAGGTAAATACTTAAAACAATTAATTATAATTCAATTTGTAAATTGTTTACGATTTGTTAACTAATCTCATTCATTATATATATATATATATATATTAAAGTTCAAAAGAATACTTGGAAAAATTGAAGACAGTGCAAAACAATCAAACCAATGATATATTCACAGTAGGAGATGAACGATTTAGTTCTAAATCTGCCAACTGGGCAATCGAAGGAGAAGAAAACAATGAAGTAGAGGATAATCTATTATCACATATGAAATACCGTAAGGCACAATAGTCAATTTACTCCATTATTATTATTGATGATGGCTATTCACCGTTTATTATTTTGTTTCGTAGAATTTACCGGTGGCTCTACACAATTTGTCTGCAAAATATTTTGTGCCGATCAGTTTGATACACTTAGACGTAAATGTGGTTGCGAGAGCACTTACATACAATCACTCGCACGATGTGTTAAATGGGATTCGAGCGGAGGCAAATCCGGTTCCGCTTTTCTCAAAACTCGAGGTATTTTCATGTTTTATAATTAAAAATAAAATTGTGTTACGAATACTTATAATTTATCTATTTATTCTATTTAGATGATCGCCTCGTCATGAAACAAATTTCTCGTAACGAAGTGGATGCGTTCTTAAAATTCGCTCCAAAATATTTTGAATACATGGCTAATGCCTTAATTCACGTTAGTAATATATATATTTAATTTATTTTTATATATATTTATATGTTAAATTC